AACCCCAAATCGTGCTAGTGGTTCACAAAAGCAAAGCCCTTCTTCTTGTCTCTCCATCTCCCCATCTGTAAAAGAAGGCTGGGGGCATGCCTTTTTTTAGCAAAGTGTCTGAAAATGGGCTTACTGTAAAAATGATGGTGGCGAAGAGGTCTTATCCGCAGGCCTGACTTGTGGGATCTCATGGAGGAGCTGTGGCATACGGTCATGTGCCTGTCCCTCTAATGTGGCTTTCTCTTTTAAAAAGCGCTGTGCAGAATGTGAGACACACTAGATAAGAGTGAATTTAACGGCTATTTCCCATCCTTTGAGGAACATCAGTATTGGCTGAAAGAGGGAAAAAGACCTTTTTTGTTGAGACCAGAATAGACCTGCTTTTACTGGAGGAATCTGTGAGTGCTTTTGCTGATATTTCCTCTGATGGCTTTTACCTGACTTGTTTTTCAAAACCCCTGTTGAAATTTCTCAGTCTTCAAGCACTATTTCCATGCTGAAATTCGAGTTTGGGGTCTGGAAAAATGTCCAAAATGATTTTGCAAATGGCTTGCTGCGATGCCAGAGTCGCGGAAATGGGGCACGCTGTAAGGAAAGTCACCTGTTTATTTCTGGGAGGGCAGAGAATTTGTTTTAAACAATGCCATTTGCTTTTCAATTACGGGCGTTTTTGTGGAAAAAACATTGCAGCAGCCTGTAAGAAAGAGCACGTGATCACAATTAAAGAATGTGTTGTGCTGTATCAGAAGGTAGCATTTAAACTGAGGAGAGCCAGAATATTGACTATAACTCATTGTAATTATACCATCTATTTCAAACATGTAAATATGTTTGGTAGCACTTACATGTTTATGTCAGCCATTGGGAAAAGCACTTTTCCTTTTTGGTAAACTTCTGATGATAAGAATTTTGTTACTTGCATTTGAATAAGCAACAAACAAGGAGTTTAGGCACAACGCATTTATATGCAGAAAGAAGTGGGTCCTCTCTCCCATCACTGCAGAAGTTTGCCCGTATTAAGGTTGTGATAATACCGTGGATAGGAAATGTTAATAAACCATCCCGAGCCGTGCAGTTCTGAACAGAATACCCCATGATCATGTCAAAATCAGCATGCCATAGAGGCTTGAACATGAGACTGGGAGTGGGGTGACTGGGAATCTGCTTCTGGCTCTCCTGGGCCAGGTGAACATCGACAAAACCCTGCTCGTGCCCCTTTCTGCACCCTTTAACTGCAAATTCCCGTAGTTGGCTCCTTTTGGAAGGGCTCTGAGATCCACACGTCAAGATTGCTCCAGAAGACCCAGGCACTTTGCTCGCGTCTGACGCACAAACCCAGCAAAACCTTGAAGGCTGATTTAGCCTGGCACAGGGAGCGAAGACACGTCTCTGCTAAAATGGATGAGAAAATTCCCTCAGCTGCTGGGGACTGGGATCCTTCGCCAGGGGAAATTATTCTGAGCCTATTTCCCTTCCCTTTGACATTTTCTGTCTTATCAAAAGCCAAATGAGTAAGGAAGAAGGTTAATGACTAAGCTGACAAATAAACATCCAGTTCAAAAAAGCAACAACATTTCCAGGAAAAATTTAGAATCTCCCCTGAACACCAGCTAGGAATTTAAACCCTGCCACATTTAACCCAAAAGGGACTGTCCTTTTGGAGCACATTGTGCTACCAGGGCTGCAGCTGGCTGGGGCACGGGACAGGGGCAGGTTTTTCCGTGGAATGAGGTAGTGGAAAAAGTGCAGAAAAGGGAGGAAAAGGGATTTGGTTGTGAAGAATGGAAACGAGCATCACCACTGAGGGATCTCAGGTACCCATCCCCTGAAGTGGGGCTACGTATCGACTATGGGGTCTCAGTTTTGAGACCTCAAAGTAAAAGAGTCTGAGGAATTCAGGCTGTCCTCACCAAAATGAAAACGTGTAAGGATTCACAGGGCAGGAGACTGGTTTTCATCCTGTGGTGTAGGCATCGGGGGGTGATGGTGGGGAGATGCTTCCCTCGTGCTCAGAGAAAGAGTGTGCTTGGCCTCAATTTCCCAGGGCTTCGCTCCGCCACGGTAATGGTGCATTAACAACAGCTTGATTTTCATTCAATAAATAATAGGAATTATGTCATGCTGGAGCCAAGACTTTAAACAAGAGGCTCCCGTAAACGTTTTCTTCAGGAATCCGTGATAAACCAAAGCCAGTGTCAGACGTACTCCCAGGGAGCAGGGCCGGCAGACTTGGACCCTGTCCATCTGCTTCGCCATTGAAACAAAACCACTTTATAATAACCACAGAGGGGAGGAAGCGACGCAGCTTGGCATATACACTTATACTATGTGTGGTGGAAATGTTTATTCTTTATTTCAGGAAGATTTAGTGGGTGTAGAGATAATAGAGCACAGCGCTTGCTTGTGTCTTGGGGAAGGAGGGGTGGTGGCGTTCGGGCTTTAAGGGAGTCCAGTGTCGGCTCCCGGGGGGAATATTTTCGGTAATACCTATTGCAGTCTCAGGCACTTGGAAGGCAGAAGGAGACAGTGGGATGAAATGTGCTTTTCGGGAGAGGTGTTGTAAAGGCCCCAGGATTAGTTATTTCTGACAGGAGGGATTTTACAGACTCCGGTAGACGGCAGAGGCAGAGTCCTGGCCGTTCCCAATTACTCCTCCAAGGCCCCGTGCTGGATGCCTCCTGTGGAGCAGCTCGGGCTGCGGCATCCCCCTCCCCGTGAGATGCCATGGGGTGAGCCTTGGGCTCACCCACCCCACAGACAACTCCTCTTGCCCCCATGTGAGCCTCATCTCTTACCCATGACGGCTGCCCTAAGGGTCTTCTGGCTCCCGCTGCCTGGCATCTACCCAAAACGCTGCAGGACCATGCTGTGACTTTGGAAACGGGGAAGGATTTGCAATAGAAGAGTCTGTGGGGTCAGCAGACCACGGCATCCCACACCGTGTGCCCCGCTGCCCCTGGGGTGCTGCTGTCTGTCCCCACAGCCTGGCCTGTCACAGCGCTCCCCGTTTTGTCGTGCACGTGGACCTCTTGCTGCGCTTCCACTCCCTGGGGCTGCTCAAGATCAAACCCAAACCCTGTGCTGACCTCTGGGGATGGGAGAGTCCCTGCCAAATTTTGAGACAGCGTACGTCTAGACTTGGTGTGCGAGCAAGGGAGTGAAGAGATGACTAAGTGTCTGAAAGTTTGGGCCTTTGGAGAGAAGTCCCTTGGCTCCTGGTTCCTTGGATCAAGTTCCATTTCCTGTGGAGCCATGGAGATACTGGATATTTTCTCCCGTTTCTTGGCCTTTTTGAAAAAGTAAAAAAAATATATAGATCTGTCTTGGGTGAGGAAACAAATTTTTGAAAAATTTTGGCAAGTCGAGGATCAAAAAAAAACCCCGTGTTGAGTGAAACATTTCATAGCGACAAAAATCAAAACATCTCACTTTGCCTTCAACCGCTTTAAAACATTTTAATGGGTTGAAAGGAAATTTCAAAATGGAAAGTCATGTTTTGCTTCAAACACTGGAAAGTGTTTCATTAACGAGGAAGAGCAGAAGCAAAACAATTGCCTTGTTTTTTTGTTTTATTTCCAATCAATTGGACGGCTCCGTCCCCGACCTGCACCGAGGTCAGGGGCTGTGTCCCCTTACGGTACGAGGGACCTGGAGCTTGGCAGCCCTCGCGTCTGATGAAGTCACCTCCCAAGCAGGAAGCTTTTCTGATCACCCTAACTCCCTTTTACATCTTTTTAATACAACTTTGCAGGCTTCAGCTGGCCCTGCTCACCCGCTGGTGCCTCCAGAAGTATTTCTGGCCACGTGGCAGCCTTGGGTCTGGGATAACGCAGAGAGGGGCTGGCGAAGCCCTTCACCTCCTTGTGTGCCGTGACACCACGACAAATAGACCTGAATTATGGTCTCTGTGGGCTTGGGATCTCTGCTGGCTTCCCTTGCCCTGAGGATGTATGGTTTGGGCTGCAAAATCAGGTGTGGGACCATCTGGTTCCATGGTTTTAGGTTGTGGCAGAGGATCAGGAGGCGAGGAGATGCTGTGGGTATATCCTCGGCCTTGCCCCGCTGCCCCAGCAAACCCCAGTTCTTTGTGTCCCTGAGGGTCCCTTGTGGCTGGGGACAAGCTGGTGGCTGTGCTTTGGGGGTGGCTGTGCTTTAGGGACAGCTCTGCCTCACGGGGATGAGGTGAGGTGAGGGGCGCCGTGAGCCCCCTCAGGGGCTGTGTGGGTTCGCTGTGGCGTTCCGGGGAGGATCTCAGCCGCCGGCTGAGCGCCTCCAGGCAAAGCCAGGAGAAGAAAGGAGAAGGAGGAGGAGGAGGAGGAGGAGGAGGAGGAGGAGGAGGAAGGCCGTGGGCGCTTTAAGGCGCGGGCGGGGCGCGGCCCCCGGCCCACCTCTGAACCCGGAGATTGACGGGGGGGCGGTGCGGGCGGCGGGGCCGGGCCTTCCCTCCGCAGCCGCCAATGGGGCCGGGGGGGCGGGGAGCAGCGGCGGCCCCTTCCTCCCCTCCTCCTCCTCCTCCTCCTTCTCCCTCCTCCTCCTCCTCCTCGGGTTCCTCCGTGCCACTTTGAGGAGTCCGGAGCCGAACAAAAGCAGGCGGCGAGGGCCGGGGCCGGGGGGGGCTGCGGTGCGCGGAGGCCCGGCCGGGGAGGGGGCAGCCCCCGCTGCCGCCCACCTCAGCGCTGCCGGCGGCCACGCAGCCCCGAGCCCGGCCCGGAGGAAGGGAAGAAAAAAATTAAAAAAAATAAAAAAAAAATAAAAAGGGGGCAAAGTTTGGAGCCCGCCCGGCTCCGGCGCTGACAGCGCCCCGCTGGGATCCGGAGTGACTCCGGAGCGGCTCCTGCCCCGCCGCCCCCTTTTGGAGTCGCCGCCGTTTCCCCTCCCTTCCCCGGAACCCCCCCTCCTTCCCTCCCTCCCTCCTTCCCTCCCTCCTCCTCCTCCTCCTCCTCCTCCAGCAGCCGAAGGGATTTTTTTTCCCCCCTTTCTTCCCTCTCCTCTCTCTCCTTTTTTTTTTTTTTTTTAAATTTTTAAATTTTTCTATTTTTTTTTTTTTCTCCTCCCCGCCGCCGAGCTGGAAGCCTGAAGGATCAATAACAATAAAAAAAAAAAAAAAAAGCAGCGCGAAGAGGAAGAGGAGGAGGAGGAGGAGTGTGTGCAGGGAGGTGGGGGGGGAAGACACGAAGCAAAAGAAGAAGAAGAAGAAGAAGCAAAGCGAGCGAGGAGCCGAGCCCAGGCGGCGGGGCCGGAGATGGACGAGCAGCCGCGGCTGATGCACACGCACGGCGGGGTGGGGATGCCCGGGCACCCGGGCCTGTCCCAGCACATGCAGGATGGACCAGGCGGGGCGGAGGGGGAGGCAGGCAGGAAGCAGGACATCGGAGACATCTTACAGCAGATCATGACCATCACCGACCAGAGTTTGGACGAAGCGCAGGCCAGGTGAGGCTCGCCGGGGGGGGGACACATGGATACACACACACACGGACACACAGCCGGGATAATTTGGGGGCAGGTGCCGGGGAAGTTTGGGCGCCCAGCAGCTCTGCCGCCGCCTTTTGTGCGCCCCCGGCTCGCCCTTTGTTGGCCGCCGGGGGGCAGCCCCGGAGCCCCCCCCCTTAGCCCTGCTCCGAGCCCTGCCGGGGGAGATCGGGGCCGGGGGGGGGGGGCGGCTCCGGGCATTGTTCGGAGCCCTAAGGGCTGCCCCCCCCCCTCTAGGCAACTTTGGGGCAGTTTCGGGGCTTTGAGGAGCCGTCCTGGAGCGGGCGAGGAGTGGATCCCCTCCGGATCCCCTCCGGATCCCCTCTGGATCCTGCAGGAGCTGCGGGTCCCACCGCTGGGGCCCTCCTCCCGCTGTTTTTCAGGCCGTGCTTTTGTGCTCAGAAAGCGTTGCATAGATCCTTTTTTATATATTTTTTAATTATTATTATTTTTAATTGCAGAAGTAATTATAAAAAAAAAATAAGGCTGCGAAACGCAGCAGCCGAAGCGCCCTCGGCTCGGAGCAGAGCGCGCCCAGCAAAAGTTAGGGGAGGGGGGAAAATTCTCCCAATTCAAAATCTCCCACCCCAAAGCGCCTTTCGAAGCCTAACGCTAAGAAAGTCAACCCAGAATCATCCGGGGGGCACCCTTGAAATTTCTCCTGCTGGTGGTGGTGCCGTTCCCCCTGGCATCCGTGCTGGTGGCCGGGGAGGATTGCTCGAGTACATTGTTCCTGGAAAAACGCAGGCACCGTCCCACAGCCCCGCGGCACGCCAACTTCCAGGGGGGAAAAAGTGTCCCCCAAACCCCCTGCTCGCCTCCTGCGCTTGGCGAGAGCGTTTGGGCCGTCCTTTTTTAATTTTATTTTAATTTTTTCTAGTCCTCGTGCAGGGGCAGAGCGGCTCACAATGCGCTTTCCTCCCGGCCCAACGCGGGGAAGCGAGGGGGTCTCCCTCCTGAAAGTTGTGGGGCTGGTGCGTGGTCCTGCGAGGGTAATTTGGGGTGCTTAATCACACCAGCAAGCCCCAGCCAGAGCAGAGCGAGGAGAAGGCAATATGGTTTTGGCTATTTCAGCTGCTTCCTCGCAGTACTTTTCTTTTTTCTCCTTTTTCTTTTCCCTGCGCTGCCAAACGCACAGCATTTATCAGTGGTGTTTAGCTGTGCATTTCCTGCATCCATCCTGCTATTTGCGTGGACGTTTCGCTCCTTATTATTATTATTATTTTTTAAAGTTTTGGGAAGATGCAAAGTGCCAGTATTATCTGTAAGAGGGCCCCTGCAGCGCACGGCCGTGATTTGTGTCCACCCCGATGTCTGCACCCATCTGGGTGTGCTGATAAGGGGCCGCTGTGGTTCGGCGAGGGCATATACCTTTGAGAGGCTTCATCAGAGAGATAAATCTTTTTAACATGTTGTGGGTGGTGGGGTAAGTAGTGTGAATGTTTGCCAGATGTTCACATCGTCTTGGCGTGTAATTTCGGTTGGTAAACAGAAATCCCGTAACTGGCGCCTGATAGGAACAGCCCTTTATACGACCGAACCCGTGGCAAAATGATCGTACGGGCTAAGGAAAAAGAAAGAAATCCTGCCTCAGCAGGCACACGGTGGGTTTTAAAGCCAGCCGATTCAAACCACCCCCCCCTTAAAATCTCTCCTTTCCTCTAAACCCACGGGAGACCGGTCAGCTATGAAACCACCACCGAAAAGAAAGGCAGCGAGCAGGATGCCTCCCACTTCCCAGAAGCATCTGGCTGTGCTTTTTTTAAATGCATTTACTATCCCAATTGTAAAGAATTAAATCTTCACACCTGCAAATAGGCTGGCTGTATGCAAGAAGTGTAGCAGGAAGGCAGGGAGATGGATTTATTCCTCCATATGCGCGCGTGCCTGTGGCTGTGCGTTTCTGCACTCCAAGTTGGGCGCTGAAATCCCCCGAATTGACAGCTCGAAGCAGAGGATGTTGCCAGCCTAGGGAAAAAAAAGGGGGGGCATTTTTTTTTTTTTCCTTTCCCCTCTGCCTCGCAGAACGAGCTGAATGAAACACATGGCTGGGTTTAATATCGGAGGTGGGAGACGGAGGGAGCCCCGCGCTGCTCGGCTGTGTGTGTTTGAATGAGTTACACCACGCTTGCCTTCCCAGCCCTGGCTCTGGCTCGGCGAACGCAGCCTGCCTTGCACTTCGTGGCCGTGAGAGCCACTCGGTGGCAAATCCTAATTCCAAGCGATTCCCAAATTGGTGTCATTTATCTGCTCTCCGTTAGCTGCTGGCGGCACCGCTGCTCGCGTCCCTCGAGCCCCGGCGGGGACGGCAGCGGCTGGGCCTGGGGGCTGGTGGGCTCCCAACCCCGGCCAAAATCCACCCCCCACGCTCAGCAGGGCTGATGTGAATTTTGGGAAGTTCTCCCCAGCTGCAGCGACGTCCTAACCTCCCCCCTTTTCTTCTCTCCCCAGGAAACATGCTTTAAACTGCCACAGGATGAAGCCAGCCCTTTTTAATGTCTTGTGTGAAATCAAAGAGAAAACAGGTAGGAAATCAGTGCTGTTCCTTCTGCTGCTTTTATTTATTTTTGATTTCTGCTCTTTGAAGGTATTATGCCACAGAGTTTGTACCCCCCCCACCCCCCCGCCCGTGTGTAGGAGTGTTTAAGTGGGGAGAAATAACTCGCTGGTATTTAATGCTTCTGGCACTGGACTCGCATGATGTGGTTTGTGTCTGCAAGGGAAAATGCTGTGGTTTAATTTCTATTGTATGGCCGCTCGTTATTTCTTGTTTTCTGGGGGGAGAGAAGGAAAAAAAAAAAAAAGAAAAACCTTGCCATTTCTCATTTCTCTCTTACTCTAGTTTTTTCTTGAAAAATGTGGCACTGTTTAAAAAAATAATCCTGCCTAGGGAGTGTGCGGGGAGAAAAACAAAATGCAATTGCGCAATTTTACTGCTGCTCCTGGTTTGGTAAACCTAAAGGTGTCTTACTTTGTATTTTTTTTTTTTTTTTTTTTTTTTTTTAAAGAAAGGGTTAAAATGCTCTTGTCTGCCAATCATCCGGGCTAGCTCGCATAAGAGCAAGTTGTCAGCTGCCTTTAGTGAAAGCAATATATTAGATTGTTAGTTACTTTAGGGTACTGTTGTTTTATGACATGGGGTGTTCTCAGGCTTCTAAAGAAGCTAATGACATGAGAGCGTTGGCTCTGCCGTTTCCCACTTTCCAGACCTCCTACCATGTACTAACACACTTATAACACATCCCAGGGGGGCATTTAAATTTTAAAAGCAACAATTAAAAAATAGCAGTCATCAATCAAGGGTGATCTTAAACAACAGATGCTCAGGAAAGGACATTTAGCAACATGCACCACTTATTTATTTATTTGCTGGAATCTCTTTTTTTTCTTTTTTTCCCCCTTTTTTTTTTTCTTTTTTTCCAATTGGGGGAAGTGATGGAAATTCAGCACGGGGGGGTGACTTGCCTCTGCCTTTCCGAGCCCATCGGAGGTGCTCAGAGGTTCCCCGTGCTGATCCAGCTGCCTTGGTTTAGCAGCCTGCGAAGTACTTGACTTCTCCCCCCCCCAGCCTCCCCTCTTACAACAAGGACCGTAACAGTCAATAATTCATATCTAAACCATATAAGCAAGGGCATGACATGAATGAAAGTGACAATAAATATGATTGCACACCCCGTTGATATACATTGATAGTTACACATAAAAGGGGAACAGCTTTCGGAAACCTGAATCTGGGCCTTACTTTTTTTTTTTTTTTCCTCTTAAATATATATAAAGCCGCGTGGTGCGAGCAGGTGATAGGAAATACAATTACTTGACTCCTGCAATATATATAAAACGACTAAGGGGGCCTATTGTTAAACGGTGTTTGTGCAGCTTGTAGCCTAGACAAAGCACCTACGGTGGCATGCAGCGCTCGGAGTCCTTAAGGCCGTGCTGTCCGACCTCCCCGAGAAGTCAGGCGTCGGGTGGGTTCCTAAATGCCGTGCCGTGGGTTCTGCACGGACCCTCTTAGAGTTTGCATGGTGTAAGGAGGAGGTGGTGCAGGGATTGAGCTGTTTTTACAGGCTTTTGCTGTGCGCCCACCCCCCAAAAAGGAGCCCTCAAGTTCCTTTCCCTCTTCCCTCCTGCTTTGATTTGGTGCTAGCCAAAGGCAATGCTTGTCTGTGCTGCCGTGTGTGCTGCTGGTGCTCTGGCAGGGTCGCCGATGAATCCCAGCTCGCTTTTGATAGCACAGCCACAAAGTTTTGGGGTGGGGAATCCAGGACCAGCCCCGGCGGTGGATGCAGGCGACGTGCTAACGGGGATGCTGCAGCTGTGAGCTGATGCCTGGTGGCAGGCTGGAGAGTGCTCGTGGAAACAGAGGATGCTCAGGTGTGGGCTGGGGCTGCTTTAGCCTTTTGAAATGTGTTATTTGTTGGTGTTGTGCCTGGGTTACTTGGATACAGCTGCGCAGAGAAGCCTGAAGAGGTTGAGCCGAGGTGGCTTTTGGAGCCTGGGTTGCCTGCCCTCGGATGCGGTGCCTTATTTGTGCTGTGCAAATTAAAACTCCTCCTCCCCTTTCCCCCAGCTGCAGCCCCAAAAGTCACACTTTGTGAGCGAGCAAAGGGCCAGATGGCAATTTATTTATTTTTTTTCTATTTATTTGCCATTACCAGGTGGGCCCGGCTGCAGCAGGAGGGCAGCCCTGGGTTTGCTGGGGCTGAGAAACCCAGGGTTGCGGGCAGGTCTGCGCAGCCAAGTTGAGCCGAGTTCTCCCCCCCAGCCTCCCCATTTTGCTTCCCAGCCTTTTTTTTACGTGTGTGGTGGGTTTTTCTTGTGCGAGCCGTCGCCTGACATCCCGCTGGCTGCTCGTGGTCACCGTGTCCCCCCCCCTCCCCGGCGTTATGATGTGCAGAAATGTGCATTCAGTTACCCGCTGCCTGATTTAAGTGACTCCAGAGCCTTATGGAGACTTTACCACCGCCTCTCGCAACATTATGGCTAATATTTCATCGCGTTAACATTGTCTGAGCAAACCCAAAGTGTCCATAAAGTTCTTCGGAAAAGAGGTCGGCTTTCTTGGCCAAAGGGTTCCCTGCTGCACCTGGGCTTTTCGATTCTTTTAAAGCATTTCTAAGCGTAGTTTTATAAAGCTCCCTGCTTGGAATCCGTCCGTTCCTTTTGTCTGCAGTCTGGAGTGATGTTTTGGGGCGATGTTTGTTTAGGAGTAGTCAAAGTTGGGAGGTTTGGTCCAGGTGGGAGCGTGGAGGAAACAAAAAATTGCCGCTTCAATATCTGTTGAAGTTGTCTGCTCGGTGTGCTTCCACTTGCTGTTGGCTGCTTTGTTGTGAGCGAAGGGGCAGGGACTGCCTTCAGATGGCTGCCTGGCTTTTTGGAATAATAATTATGGGAAGAGGAGGCATTGTTGCCCTAAATGCAACCGATTCCTCTGTCGAGAGGGATCGAAATCGGAAACGGCGTTGCTGATTTAGAAAAAGTTTGAAGGCAGGGGTAGGGGCTCCATATTTACATCCTTTTTTTTTTTTCCCTTGTTTTTTCTTTTTTTTTTTTCTCCTTTTTTTTTTTTTTCCTGCTGTTCCCTGCCTGAGCGGAATAGCTAAGCAGAGGAACCAGGCAAAGCATCGCGGACGTGGGGTCCTTGGATGGCAAACTGGAAAATATCTGCTGTCAAAAGGCAGCAGCGCCTGGTTCAGCTGGGAGCCCTTCCCAGCTCCCCTGCATCAGTGGGGCCGGGCGGGGAGAGGCTGAGCACAGGATATATGGCCCTTTAATCTCATTCCTCCTCCTTAAGAGCTTTTCCCATCCTTTCACTTTCTCTGCTCTTTTGGGGGAGGTGAGGGCGGCGGGACTGCTTAAAAAGGCCCTGACTTCTTGGTTGAAATCCCCCCCCTTTTGATTATCTCGGCCCCTCTGTGCCGAAGGGTTTGGGGTTTAAAAGAAAAACCTGCCCACGACCGATCGAGGGAATTTAGGGAGCGGAATATTTATAGGCAGCGCTGATTAGCCCCGCGCTTGTTGTTGAATAATGGGTTTATTTCTTTAATTTTAGAACATAATAGCTACATAAGGTGCCTCTTCGTTACCTTTCCCCGTGCATTATCTTCACCAAACTTAACTCAAATCAGATCTTTGGAGGAGGCAGGATTTTTTTTCTCCCCCCTTCTTTTCTTCCTTAACACCCCTTTGTTCTCTCCAGCTCTGCGTTCAATTAACACCCCCATCACAGAACTGTAGTCTTTTTTTTTTTTAATGTCTGTTACTGTATTTCACTCCTGACACCTCTCTTATTATTCTTGCCTGCCGTTTCTCTTTAATATAGCAATTACGTTATGGGGTTTCTTTCTTCCTCCCCCCCCCATCCCCAAAGGAGGGAATGGGGGCAGCCGTGGTGCCCCGAGCGGGGCTGCAGGCGTGGGGCAGTTCCTGCAGGATGAAGTTTGTGGCGGGGCAGGATGCAGCATCGGGCTTTTCCTCCCCTCCCCAACACTCTGGTACAATCTCAGACCCTGCCCTCCTTTTCTCCTGCATTTCCACGGAGGTTTCCCAAGCTGCTGGGGGGGGTTAAGCCCCCCCAGGTTTGGATCGCAGCGCGGTGCTGCACCTCCGGCTTAATTCTGTCTGCAAAGCCAATAATGAAAGTGCTGCAGCTCCTGCACCGAAGGATCAGGGGCCCTGCTCTGCTCCGGGAAGTCCAGCATCGCCTGCCTGCCCTTCAAAGGGTTTGATTTATTTTTTTTTTCCCCTTTTTTTTCCAGCTTTGGAGGGAGAGGTGATGCTTCTCCTCGCCAGCCGGGTGGGCAGCGGGTCTGTCGGTGCGGGGTCTGCTGGGTGCCTGGCTGCTTTCGGAGGGGAAAGCAAAACATTTCATCGTCTGCTCATCCCCGTTTCATCATCTTCTCTTCCCCGTTTCGTCGTCTTCTCTTCCCTGTGGGCTCTGCTGAGAGCAGGGCCTCTGCTGGCGGCCGCTGCTGCGCGGGGAAACCTCTGTGCAGCTCACGATTAAATTACTTCCAGAAAGCTGCTGGCTCGGAGGGAAAGGAGGGAAGGGAAAACGTGCAGGAGGCTGCGAGGCAGGGATGGGTCTGCAAGGGAGGACGGTGTCTGGGAGATGTTGGCTCGAGGGGGAGGGCTGTGCCGTGCAAAAAGAGCAGCCACCTCTGGGAGGGATGGAAAGCAGCCACCCTGGAGGGACCCCGGTCCACCCGATGGGTTACGGGGCAGCAAGCCCATTCTGTGGAGTCCCTGTGACCCCGCTGCGAGTCCTTGTTTATTTTGGGGTACTGGCTGTTGAATAAACTTTCCTGGGGCTGCGGCAGCCCCCTGCCCTATTTGTTTGCAGGCTGAACCCCTTCAGAGATGGCTGGTGAGGATGGATGAGCTCGCACAGCTCCTGGGGGGCTAGAGCAGCCAAAATACCCGTGTGAACCAGGTGTGGGCACAACTAACTGCTGTCAGGGACGTGTTGTGTGTCCTCCCTGTCACCACGGGCTTCTCTCCCCTTCCCTGTGAGTGGTCTTGGCCC